GGCAGTTGAGGATAAATAAAAGCGTTTCCACCCCTATTCGAAACTTTTTTTTGTGTGTGAATATATGCGAGAACATATATCTATGCATTTTAAAACTTTTTACTTCCAAAACGTTTCCAAAAGCAAAATTTTCATGTAAATTTTTTCTAAACTTTTATTATGCTTTGTTTTAATAATTTAACGCATCGCATATTTGTTAGTTGGAATATCGTATATGTCCTTCAACCATGTCATTTATGGTTTCGTTTTTTGCTGATGCTCCGTAATAAAAACTTAGCTAAAAATTTAAGGCATAAAAGTTTTGTGGGAGTTTTTCAAAGGTCTCAACACCTAAGAAAATAAAACAAAACCAAAGTTTGAGAGCTTTAAGCACAATGTAAGCTAATTTTAAACTATGTATATTATCTTGCTGTAAAGATTAGTTTTATTAAAAAGCACACAAAACTTAGATTTAAAAAAAATAATTTAAAAAAAAACAACAACTCTAACACTCTAATCTATATAAAAAAGACATACTTGTGTAATCCAAGAACTGAATTATGACCATCACCCAACCACGGTCAAGCACCTAGCCCTATTTTATGACCAGGGGTCTGTCCAGACATTTTGTGAAAGGTCCGTTTTTCGTTGAAATTGTGAAAAAATTACTCACATTCTTCCAACCAGGGTCTGCTTTTATGAATTTATGCAAATAGGATCCGTTATTGCAAAAAAAAACTTTTTCAAGGAGTTTTTAAATTGTCAATAGATACAAGATTATGCTCAGCCTGTGAAATTATAATGAGAAAAATTATATTTTTGAAAATAAACAGCAATTGCTCTTCTAAATTAGAGATGCAACATACAAATATTTGGTATTTAGCCTATACTGCTGAACGCAGAATATTCATTTCGGACGAATAATGGAAGAATCGTCTGCCAAAGACAAAACTTAATTCGTTTACATCCATCTTTCTTGTTTTCTGCCCTGGAAAGGGTTTATTCGATTAACAAAATAATAATGAAGATAAACAAATTTGTGAAGGGTCCGATTAAAAGAAAAATCATTTTGTGAAGGGTCCGTTTTTAAGTTAAAATATTTTGTGAAGGGTCCGTTTTTA